TTCTGCACAGCAAAAGACACCATCAACAGAAGAAAAAGCAACTTACAGTATGGCAGAATATATTCATAAATGAGTCATCTGATAAGGGGTTCAATCCAGAAAAAAGAACTTACATGCCTTAACACCAAAAATAGTAATAACCTGATTAAAAAATGGGCAGAGGACCTGAATAGATATTTGTCCAAAGAAGAAATATGGGTGGCTAACAGGCACATGAAAAGATGCTTCATATCGGTAATCATCAGGAAAAATGCAAATCAAAACCACAACAAGATATCACCTCATATTAGTCAGAATGGCCACTATCCAAAAGACAAGAACGTGTTGGTGAGGATGTGAAGAAAATCTCTGTTGGTGGGAATATGAATTAGTGCAGCCACTGTGGAAAGTGGTATGGAAGTTCCTCAAAAAACTAAAAATAGAAATACCATACAACTCAGTAACTCCACTTCTAGGAATTTACCCAAAGAAAACAAAATCCCTGATCTGAAGATATATGCACTGCTATGTTTATTGCCTCATTATTTACAATAGCCAAGATATGGAAGCAACCAAAATGTCCATCAATAGATGAATGGATAAAGAAGAAGTGGTGCATACACACAATGGAATATTATTCAGCCATAAAAAAGAAGGAAATCCTGCCATTTGTGACAACATGAATGGACCTAGAGGATATTAAGCTATGTGAAATAAGCCAGGTGGAAAAAGACAAATACTATATGATTCCACTTATTTGTGGAATCTAAAAACAAAACAAAACAAAATGAACAAAATAGGTGCATGAGAAGTGACTGGTGGTTACCATGAGGGAGGGGCTGGGTGGTAGGTGGAGAGAAATATACATTGGTCACAGGGATGGTAGTACAGCATGGAGAATATAGCAAAAGGCTCTGTAACATCTTCCTATGTTGACAGATAGTAACTGCACTAGTGGGGGTGAAGATTTAAAAATATGGGTAACTATTGAATCACTGTGGTGTATACTTGAAACCAATATAAGATTGTATATCAAGTATACTTTGATTTTTCTAAAGTCATCAGGAATCAGAATTATCAATAATAAAAAGAAATAAAAATATAAAATCCAAAAAAAGTGTGTCAGATGAACTCATGATTGTGTTTTTTTTTTTAAAAAAGATGCGTATTTCCTAGCTTTGTCCATTAAACAGGCTGAGAAGTGACAATACAACAGAAGTGAGGATACCTAGTCCCTAGATATGTAGTCTCTAAATACAATTATCTCATTAAAAGGAAATGGGAGCTTCCTGGGGGGAAAAGCTTGGTTCTAGGTCTGGAAAAGGAAATGTACAAGATGACCCTGGGGCATTCTTGTGCTCCAGAAAGCAAGGAAGTTAATCATATTAACTTGTTAAAAATTAAAAAGGTCATGTTAAAAGAGCACAACAACTTGAATCTACAGAGGCGTTCAACGGAATACCAAACAGAATTGTAACTACAATGGTTTGAAACTGTTTAAAATATTCATAAAAAATACCATAATGGCACCTCAAAAATAAAAACTAATATAAAAACTGAAGGTGGCTAGGGTACTAATTCATTATTCTAAAAATTAATAAATAGGGAGAAAAAACCTTATCTTTCCTACTTAGACTGTATTTTAGGGTAGCAAATATTCGATAAGGGAATCTTCTTCCTTACAGAAGAACCAGAGCTAATAGATGCTAGTGCAATGAGAAACTTAGAGAAATCACCATTTTGCAGCTCATAGTGAAAAAGTGGATTTTTGGCAACTAACATTGATGGCTGCTAAAACTATTAGGTTAAAGATGGAGGATGAACTTTATAATGAATGTATCAGGCTGACACCCAAACTCAAACAACTTGACAGTCTCTGCCTCCTGCCGTGATGTAACAGAAAATGCAAAGCATTCCTACTAAAATTTGATATCTGACATTTGTTTCAAAATACTATAAAGAAAAATTCAAGCTGATCAACAGTCATGTGATTTTTTTATTTCTGCCAACTTTTAGGTATGTTTGAAAGTTTCCATAATAAACTGAAAAAAAACAGGTACAGTAATTTGGTCTTTAGGTGGAGAGGAGGTTACAGTAATGACTGGAACATAAGGGGTCAAAGTCTGAACTAGGATGGGGAAGGTAGACAATAGAGAAAGACGGCTAAATAAATGACTGGCTTTGGTAATGAAATGGATTCAAGAGTGAAGAAAAATCAAACATAGTTTCAAGTTTCCAGATGAAATCAGTAAAGCTTCCACTGACAGAAATGGAACAGTAGAGAATGGACATTGATATGAGGAAAAGAAAACTGTTCCCACCAGGGTTGGATTTTGATGGATTGCAACTTTGCTGAGTATAAAGGAATGAAAGAACATCACTTCAAATTCTCCACAGAAGGAAAAATTATGGGGCTGGATATGCTTCTGCCTGAGGAGAGGGAAGACAATGCCCTTTGTGCTTGAGAGTCATAATATTGGGAAGAGAACCTAAATGTTGGGAAGAGCATCAAAACTGCAACCTTTTGGTTTCCAATATATTTGAGTTCCCAGGTATTAAAGGGGACACCTGTCCTTTCTTATATATCATCCACTTCTTTATTTACAGGGGTATAATTTCATGCAATAAAGCATATAGATATTATGTGTTTGTTTCTATGAGTTTTGAGAATAGCATATACCTAGGTAACTACTACACAACATAAGAAGTAGTACAAAGCTTCCCAATGCTCCTTTCCAATCAATTCCTCTTCTTGCTGCTCACCTCCACACAGAGACAACTACTGTCCTGAATTCTATCACCATATCTTAATTGTGCCTGTTCTTAGACTTCATCTGAATGGAACCTTAGAATGTGTATACTCTTTTGTGTTTGTTTGCCCCTTTCATCAATATAGTGTTTTTGAGCTTCATCTATAATGGCAGGTGTATCAGTAGTCTTTCCTTTTTAACGCTGTGTAACAGTCTATTGTATAAATATATCACAATTTGTTTATACATTCTCCTGTTGATAGACATTTGCGTTATTCCAATTATTGGCTATTGGTAAAAAGGCTGTCATGGATATTGTGCAAGTCTTTTTATGGACATATGTTTTAATTTCCCTTAAGTAAATATGTAAAAATGGAATTTTAGCATCACAGGTTAAGTGTATATTTAATTTTATAAGAAACAGCTGAACAGCTCTCTAAAATGGTTGCACTATTTAAACTCTCCATCTATCACTCTTTAAGCAATAGATTTTAGAGACTGAAATTCTTTTATGTACTTTATTTGATCATACCTAGTGATCAGCAATTTTTTTTATTCTGAAGTGCTGCATTTTTTTACGTCATATTTATTATTACTTGAGCCATTCAGTATAGATATTTCATTAATAATATCATTCTTAAAAAAGTTTCCAAGCAGTTCATAAAGAAAACACTTCAAGATTAAGTAACAAACTACAAAGGACCTTGTAAGAACTCAGATACAGAACTTCTTAATTTAAGCACTGGAAAAATGGAAAGGAAAATAAGCAGAGAGGCCACATTGAGTCTGGTATAGAGCATCTGAAGAAAAGAACTCAGGTGGTATTTGTCTGGTAAAAAAACTGTATTTATGATGTTTGGCGTGAAAATACAGTGTATTTTCAGCTCTTGTTTTGCACAACTTTACATCTCACCGGTAGCTTTTATGTAGGAAACGCAGAGATACTTACTTGCAGGGATGGGCTAAGGCAGTCTCGTAATATTTCCTGATGATTGGGTTCACAAACTATTTCAAAAATTTGCTTTCTCTCTTGCAAAGGATGGGTTGGTGACAAAATATACACTAGTAATCTCCCAAGCTGCATTCGGAAGGTTTCCTTACAAGACCATAAGATCTTAGTCCACTGCTGCTTGGAACCACTGGTTTTACCTGAACCCTTAAATCAGAATAAGAATAAATTAAGATAACACTTCTTAAGCAATAATATACTAGCCTCAGCACAGCCTTAAAGATCATGGAAGGTGTTTTATTATAGATTTTTTTTAAATAGTCAAATTAGAAAGACATATACATCCATACAAATGGGTGTTTAAAAGAGATGGAGGTACACCAATATTTACAGGACCATTGTTCTAAATAGTCAAAAGGTGGAAACAATACAAATGTCCATTGATCGATGAATGGATAAACAAAATGTGGTATATACACAAAATTGAATATTATTCAGCCTTATAAAGGAATAAGGTTTTGATACATGATTCAATATGGATGAGCTTGAAAACATTATATTAAATGAAATAAACCATATCAAAAGGACAGATACTATATGAAATATTATATGATAACTTATATGCGATATCTAGAAGTAAAATTTATAGAGACAGGACATACAATAGTGATTATCAGTGACTGAGCAGCTATTGTTGTCAGGGAGTAATGGAGAGTTAAGTGTTTAATAAGTGCAGAGCAGTTTGGTATAATGAAAAAGTTGTAGGGATGTATAGTAGTAATGGTTGCACAACAATATGAATGTACTTACAACTACGTAATTGTACCCTTAAAAACAGTTAAAATAGTAATTATTATGTTATGTATGTTTTACCACAATTATAAAAAAGAAATGAATGAAGAAGTTTAAGTACTAAGGCTTTTAAAAAATTACACAGGGCTTGGAAATTTTAAGCTAAAGAAAAAAGAACTCTCAAAGAAGAATAGTGGATAAGCCCACACTGATTTTGTAATATAAATAAAGAGAAAGGATTCATAATAAAGACTTGAATTAGTACCAAGATATTAAGTATAATAGTCACAAACTAAGAACTGCACATAAATTGACTACCAGTATTTCCGAAGAAATAATAGAAAGAGCTTGTTTCAACTGTGATTTCATTAAGGCTAAGCCAACCCTAATCCAAACTCCTGTCTGGTTTGACATTGGAATCAGTACATCTTAGAGTTTGGTCTGAGTTTTAGAATTGGCTCTTCTATTACTCTAGTCCTAAGGGCCTTGTGTGAATGATTCAATTCTAAGTGAAACCTGCAGACACGAAAATCTAGCTTAGATGTAGAGATTGTCAGAATCATGATTTATGAGTTCTGCTAGAATTAGACTGGCCTTTGGTTCTTTGGAGTGTTTTGTTCCCTATGGTCAACGGTAAGTGACCCACAGAAGACCATGTGAGCCAATGACAAATGGATCTTGACACTTGCCAGTATTCTCTCTGTGATTTTGATGATGTTGGATATGTTTAAGCCAAGATCTAAACTTCATAATAATAATTCAAGAGTAAGTAGCTATAAATAAAGTCCTTTAACAAGTGGCTATTAATTTAAACTCTCATAGTAATCACCAAAGTCGTACTCTTTTCTGATGCTGATCTTACTAAAGTACAAAATGGCTTTCTTGTTACAGACTTAAAAACCAATGCTGCATGAAGTGAGTCATACTGGAAAGGATAAATTAGCAACATATATTACTCTTTTATTAAAAATTAAGTAGTCTGAGTTTCAGAAAACTCTGTGAAATAGAAATATGATTTTGAAAACATGTAATATAGATACATGACACCTCTACTACTTCTGTGTGAATGAACATTTTTCCATGTAATTTATTTACTTACAATAGATAATTTGAATCCTTCTACCAGATACACAAACATTTCTTTCTGAAATGGGCTGAAAATGGAAGGCTGCTCATGATGAATATTTTCTTCAGAAATTTCAGTCTGGGAAATGGAGGTCTTGCTTTGAGTTGCATTTTCTGGAGTGCTCAAAATGTCAATAATGTCTGGATTAAACTCTTTGAATCAAGAAAAGAATAGAAAATTAGACCACTGCTACTCAGCCATTACAAATGGTAATGATGTTGGTAGAAATACTTTATGTAGCTGATAATTCAGATGTCACAATACAAAAGTGTAGTTGGTTTATTAGATGTAGATACAGTGTATTAGAGAAAAAGTGAATTCACCTAAGACAATGTAGAAATTTAAGCATTCATAAGTCATGCAAGTTTAAATTAAAGATTTATTTTACTAAAGATGAACCACACTGTAAATTAAAGCCATCCTCATGACTTTACTTTCATTAATTAAACATAAAGACCACATGTTCTTCATTTTAGGTGGATGTGCAGAACTGTTTCACTGTATATGCTGTGCTATTAAGTGCTGTGCATATGATAAAAACGGTTCAATTTCAGAGTTTAGTTTAGGGGCCAGGAAACAGGAAAAATTAAAAAAAAATCTTGGGTGTATTATGTGAAACCTTCATAAGATTGTATGTCAATGATACCTTAATTTAAAAAATCTTGTGTGTATTATGTTTCTTCTAGTGATTAACAATTACTGTTTTCTTTTTCCTGTCTTCTTGGGGTAATGTGAACACTTTTTAGAATTCCATTTTGACTTATCTATAGTATTTTTGAGTGTATTTCTTCACATAGCTTTTTAGTGGTTGCTCTACGTATTATATTTTTTATATAAATACATAAATCATTAACCACTAGAGACATTCAAACTGAAACCACAATACAATCTCACTACACATTTATCAGAATGGCTAAACTTAAATATAGTGAAAACTCCAAATATTGCTAAGGATGTAAAGAAAACTGGATCATTCATACATTGTTTGTGGGAATGTAAAATCATACAGTTACCCTGGAAAAGTATGGCAGTTTCTTAACAGAAACAAAATACACGACTACCATACAATCCAGCAACTTCACTCCTGGCCATTTATCCCAGAAAAATAAAGACATATTCATGCAAAAAACCTGTATGTAAACGTTTACAGCAGCTAGCTTTATTTGTAATAGCCCCAAATGGGAAACAACCCCAGATGGTCTTTCCATACGTGGATGGCTAAACAAACTAGTATATCAATACCATGGAACACTACTTAGCAGCAACAAAAAAGGAATAAACCATTGATGACTCTGCAGAGAATTATGCTGAGTGAAAAAACCCATACTAAAAGGCTACATACTACATCTATCTACATAACATTCCCTAAAGGAAAATACAGAAATGAAGAACAAATTGGAGACCTGTAAGGAAGGGGTGAGGGTGGGTGGAAAGTGGATATGGCTATTATAAAGGCAACAAAATGGATCCTTGTGATAGAAATGTTCTGTTCCTTGGCTGCATCACTGTCAATATCCTAGTAGTGATACTGGACTACAGTTTTGCAAAATCCATTAGGGAAACCGGGTAAAGGGTATATGGGACCTCTATAGTGTTTCTTAACAACTGTGAACCTATGATTATCTCAACAAAAAGTTAAAAAAAATACTGGAAGTGCTCTACTGTTTTAAACTCAATGGTAAATCTAGTCCAGCTTTTAATTGATTAAAAAGTAGACCTTTATTCAAGACTATTAGTTGCAAATAAGAAATTATTTCAATAGTGTAGATGTTAAGGTTGTTAATGCTGTTTAAAGATTTGAAACCTAATCAGTTCCCTCGTAAATTATTTTCCTTTTAATTTAATATCTGAGTAAGAACATATTCATTATCTAGTTTTACCTTGATAAACGATCCTGTTAACTGCTAAGACAGTGAGCCTCTGCAGTCTCTGTGCAAGCTCTGCTTCAGTTGCCTGGACAGGGTTCTCCTGGCTCATTCTCCTTTGCATCATCATATGAAGTTCATCACTTGCCACTGAACGCATTTTCATCAGAAGAGAGTCAGTTTGAGCAAGAGGAAATTTTCGAGGACCTTGCAGTATACAAATTAAAATGTCACATGTCTATAAATTAATAAGGATGAAGGAAGCTATTTTTGTTGCAAATTTTTGATTATCAGACCATGAAAAGAATCTTAGTTAGTATAAAGTTAATTAATCCAAAGGAAATAGAGTGATTAACAGGAAGTGATGTTTCTCCCTCTTTGAAGAAGTGTAACAATACTTGAGTTCAAAGTTCTAAATAACAATGCTGAAGCTTAGTAGGATGTATATTATTTGGCAAAATTTGAGTCTTTTGATAAGCTTAAAGAATTAGAAGGGTGTACATAAGTAGTTCAGAATGTTTTGACAAAATATTTTCAAATACTGTTTCACTTCCTTGTATTCCAAAATAATTAATAGGTTTTTAAAGCACATTGTGTTTTAGTAGGCACATTACTATTTCTGGATAATCATCGTTCTTGAATTTTATAAAGTACTTTTGAGAAGTGTACAGTTACATATTAGAAATCAGATGAAAGTGAAGAGATCAGAAAGATGAATATAATTCTGGAGATTTTCTATTAAAATGATTTGGTACATATACATTACTTGAAATTCAACCCTACAAAAGCATTTCCCAAGAAATGTTTCATGAGACTGAACAGGTAGGAGTAGCATTCCTGCACCATTACTGCACCTGCTCTGAGAGGCACCACACAGGTAGTGGATCCAGGAGAAAACGGGGGTACTGAGTCATGATTTAATGAGCTGAAGGAAGGAAGTTGACCATAGGAATGAAAATGACGCCTTGGCAGGTGAGGAATAATGGAGTCCTTCATTAGGATTGAACCTTTATTTTAAATTATGAAAACATACATCAGTCTCCCAATAATAGCCTCTGCAAACATTAACTATGTGTAAGTAAATTATGATAGTTTTTAATGAATCATCCTGCAAGATAAATATTTTAATAGTATTTTAAATTGTCCAGTATTTTTGGTGATCAGTATTTCTAATCAGTTAATCTATTTCGGTGGGTAGAGTCACTTTTGAGACAAAAATAAAGCAAATAGAAAGAAAAAAAGGTTCATATCTGGATATATCCAAGAATAATAGTCAGACTATGTCCTTAGTTTAAGCAGATTCTTCCTAATGTCTACAGCTCTGACAGCTTTCATACCATATAAGCAGCTAATAATCACATGAGAGGCACAGCAATGTGCATTTGAGTAAGGAAATTGTTAAGTCTTCTCTAGTACGAGGTCCTTTAAAAAGTGGTAGGGTATTTCAGCAGTCATACTATAGCTACACCAAGCTGATGTGGCCTTAGGTACACCTCTTTCTACACCTCAGTTTTTTCATATGTAAGGTGTGAACTGGAAAGTAAAGTAGAGACTATTTCATAGGCAGATAATTGTCACTATCTGACACTACATTAAATATATCTGGGTATAGGCTTATTGACTATTTTCTACAGTAAAATATAAGTTCCATAAGAGCAGAAAAAATAACAACTGGTATATGGCTGATGCCAAAAAAAATCTGATGGTTGAGTGAATGGATAAAGAGGGTTGTTTTGTGAATTAAATAAAATAATGGAGGTAAAACACAATGCCTATTTCATACAAAGAATTAAAAGATGTCAATAGTTGGTATTAATGGTTGAAATTCATTTGTATGTGAATAATATTAAGGATACATATTTATATATATACACATATATATTCACTTATGACAGTGTAAGTAGTTGTGTAGCAGTTTAAATAATACCCTGATGCTTCCGTCTACCAACATGCATTAAGGTGACATGTAAAGTTTTCACATTGTTAATCATATAAGTAAAAATATACATACAGAAGAATATACACTGCTACCCAATTTATAAAAGCAAAAATAAACAAGTAGAAAAGAAAAATCATATTAGAAAATCCACCAACATGATCCACTACATCAACAAAAAGGACAAAAATCACATGATCATTTCCATAGATGCTGAAAAAGCATTTGACAAAATTCAACATCCATTCATAATAAAAACTCTCAACAAAATGGGTATACAGGACAAGTACCTCAACATAATAAAGGCCATATATGACAAAGCCACAGCCAACATCATACTTAAAAGTGAAAAGCTGAAAGCGTTTCTTCTAAGATCAGGAACAAGACAAGGATGCCCACTCTCCCCACTTTTATTCAACATAGTACTGGAGGTACTAGCCATGGCAATCAGACAACACAAAGAAATAAAAGGTATCCAGATTGGTAAGGAACAAGTTAAACTGTCACTGTTTGCAGATCACATGATATTATACATAAAAACCCTAAAGAATCCACTCCAAAACTACTAGAAGTAATATCTGAATTCAGCAAAGTTGCACAATACAAAATTAATACACAGGACCCAGGAATTCCAATCCTAGGAATTTAGCCTAATAATGTAGCAGCCCAGTTAGAAAAAGACATATGCACCCCTATGTTTATCGCAGCACTATTTACAATAGCCAAGAATGGAAGCAACGTAAGTGTCCATCAGTAGATGAATGGATAAAGAAGATGTGGTACATATACACAGTGGAATATTATTCAGCCATTAGAAAGAATAAAACAAATCCTACCATTTGCAACAACATGGATAGAACTAGAGGGTATTGTGCTCAGTGAAATAAGCTGGCAGAGAAAGACAAGTATCAAATGATTTCACTCATCTGTGGAGCATAAGAACAAAGCAAAAACTGTAGGAACAAAACAGCAGCAGATTCACAGAACCCAAGAATGGACTAACGGTTACCAAAGGGAAAGGGAATGGGGAGGATGGGTGGGAAGGGAGGGATAAGGGGGGGAAAAAGGGGGGGGCATTACAATTAGCAGACATAATGTGGGTCAGGGGGAAGGGGAGGACTGTACAACACAGACAAGACAAGTAGTGAATCTATAGCACCTTACAACACTGATGGACTGTAGGGGGTATGTGGTGGGGACTTAATGATGGGGGGAATCTAGTAAACATAATGTTGGTCATGTAACTGTACATTACTGATAGCAAAATAAATAAATAAAATAATTTAAAAAATTAAGACACAGAAATCTGTTGCATTCCTATATACTCACAACAAACTAGCAGAAAGAGAAATCAGGAAAGCAATTCCATTGACAATTGCATCAAAAAGACTAAAATACCTAGGAATAAACCAAACCAAGGAAGTGAAAGACTTATACCCTGAAAATTACAAGACACTCTTGAGAGAAATCAAAGAAGACACCAATAAATGGAAATACATCCCATGCTCACGGGTAGGAAGAATTAATATTGTCAAAATGGCCATCCTGCCTAAAGCAGTCTACAGATTCAATGCAATCCCTATCAAAATACCAACAGCATTCTTCAATGAACCAGAAGAAATAGTTCTAAAATTCATATGGAACCACAAAAGACCCTAAATAGCCAAAACAATCCTTTGAAGGAAGAATAAAGCAGGGACGATTATGGTCCCCAACTTCAAGCTCTACTACAAAGCCACAGTATTCAAGACAATTTGGTACTGGCACAAAAACAGACCCACAGTCCAACGGAACAGAATTGAGAGCCCAGATATAAACCCACACATATAGGGCCAATTAATATATGATAAAGTAACCATGGACATACAATGGAGAAATGACAGCCTCTTCAATAGCTGGTGTTGGCAAAACTGGACAGCTACATACAAGAGAATGAAACTAGATTACTGTCCAACTCCATACACAAAAGTAAACTCGAAATGGGTCAAAGACTTGAATGTAAGTCATGAAACCATAAAACTCTTCAAAGAAAACCTAGGCAAAAATCTCTCGAATATAAATATGATCAACTTTTTTATTAACATATCTCCTTAGGCAAGGGAAACAAAAGCAAAAATGAACAAGTGGGACTACATCAAACTAAAAAGCTTCTGAATAGCAAAGGACACCATCAGTAGAACCAAAAAATATCCTACAGTATGGGAGAATATATTCATAAATGACATGTCTGATTAGGGGTCAACATCCAATATATATAAAGAGCTCACATGCCTCAACACCCAAAAAGCAAATAACCCAATTAAAAAATGGGCAGAGAATCTGAACAGATACTTCTCCAAAGAAGAAATTCAGATGGCCAACAGACACATGAAAAGATGCTCCACATCACTAATCATCAGGGAAATGCAAATTAAAACCACAATGAGATATCACCTCACACCAGTTACGATGGCTAACAACCAAAAAGATAAGCAACAACAAATGCTAGCATGGATGCAGAGAAAGAGGAATCCTCCTACACTGTTGGTGGGAATGTAAATTAGTTCAACCATTGTGGAAAGCAGTATGGAGGTTCCTCAAAAAACTAAAAATAGAAATACCATTTGACATAGGAATTCTACTCTTAGGAATTTACCCAAAGAAAAGAAGATCACAGATTCAAAAAGACAATATGCACCCCTATGTTTATTGCAGCACTATTTATAATAGCCAAGACATGGAAGCCACCTAAGTGTCCATCAGTGGATGAATGGATAAAGAAGAAGTGGTACATATACACAATGGAATATTATTCAGCCATAGAAGGAAACAAATCCTACCATTTGCAACAACATGGACGGACCTAAAGGGTATTATGCTCAGTGAAATAGGCCAGGTGGAGAAAGACATGTGACAAATGACTTCACTCATCTGTGGAGCATAACAAAGCAAAAACTGAAGGAACAAAACAGCAGCAGACTCACAGAACCCAGGAATGGACTAGGGGTTACTGAAGGGAAAGGGGTTGGGGAGTCTACATGGGAAGGAAGGGATAAGGGGATTAAGGGGTATTTTGATTAGCTCACATAATATAGGAGGGGGCACCAGGAAGGCACTATAGCATAGAGAAGACAAGTAGTGACTTTATAGCATCTTATTATGCTGATGTACAGTATCTGTAATGGGGTATGTGGTGGGGACTTGATTATAGGGGGGAATGTAGTAACCACAATGCTGCTCATGTGAAATCTGAGTGTAAGATTGTATATCAATGATACCTTAATAAAAAAAACCCTTGTTTATCAATAAAAACTAGGGAAGATCATGGCAAATCAATATAATCAATTATTAAGCATATTAAACATAAAGAATATTTATATTACATGAGAAAATGTCTATAATACAGTGATTAGAAATGGAAACCAGTTTATAAACAGAAGGTAAACTATGATACCATTTAGGCAAAATTACATCTTTCAGTATACATTTATACTGAAAGAAGACTTAGGGTCTAAGGATCAGAGCTTTGTTCACTGGATGGCAGGGAATCATCAGCGCTGCTGAGCACAAGAATGGTACATGAGTCAGGCCATAAAAAGATTAATCAGGCAATAAAGTAGCATCTAGCTCCTTTAAGAGTATGAGAACTTGAAATATAGAAATGATGAAAGTGTTGCTGAACAAATTTTGGTCTCCCAAAACCATGGATATCTTGGGCTTCACTGAGTTAATCTGTCTATTAATCAAAGAACGTGGCATGTGGCTGTAGTAGCAGCTGCAGCTGCTAGCTGTCCCCACCACTCCTGCTGGCAGTGCAGAGAGGGGCAGTGAGATTGGAGGTGTCACTTGCCTCAGCAGTTTTCAATAAATGCTAAGTGAATATATTTAGGAAAAAACAATCCCCCAAAGTAATTAGCACTAATGAGAACAGGTTGTTTTAAATCTCTGAAGGAATAGTTCATTACCTAAATGATAGAAATGGTAGAAATATAAACCTTTAGTCACTTTAGTATCATGAATAAATGAACTAAATGGGTTTTTATAGCCATATTGCTCAGAAGAAGAGAAGCTTCAGTACTTTGTACCTTTTGTACCTATCAGATACAAAGCCAGTACAGCTTGACAACAGCTTCTGACTGTAAAGAACTAAAACACAGTCTTTTCCAAGTACATGTGTAAATCAATATGAAGGAACTGCAAAGCAACAACTCATCACATATAAAGTAGTATTTTGTAAACTGGATTCACAAAGACAGAATTTAAATAAGGCAGTATTTAAAACAAGAAGGATTCTTGGGAGATAGCTCAGAAAGGTGGGTCCTGAAGCTATGGATGTGGTCCTGAAGTTACTACAGACCTGGAATGTGGATGTGGGGAGGACACAAAGGGAAGAGTGCAGGTGCTTCTGTCCCAGCAGTCTCTAATCTCTAGCCTCAGTGAATTTGCAAAATGAGAAAACTGGACTGGTGACTTTTAAGGTCCAAATTTGGTAGGATTCTATAAGCGTCCTATGGCTTACAGTCATTGCATTTACTTAAGAGTGAAAATACAACCCAGGGTTAAGAGGCCGAAGGAGAATAAAAGGAGAATGGCCTAGAGAAAAGGACTAAAAGCCCATTAAACACTTTAAAATGACTCAAATAAACAAAAAATAAACAATAACAAACTTGGAGCTATGCAGGGCTCTAAGGCTGAAGTTGATTAAAGTGCTAGTATCTAAAAACAGAGAAGACAGATTGCTGGGAAATCACAGACCAAAATGAAAATAGCAAGAGGGCTAAAGTGTTAGCCCAGGCACAAGCTGATTACCATCCACCCCAGGGATCCAGGTGTAGAAGAGAATGAGAAATAGCAACAAGAAAGCAACAGCAGGAATTCATGAAAGTATTAGAGTATACTTTTCTTTATCAACAGAGGGTGAATTCCAACTAAGACGTCACTGTTTATGTAAAGAATCCTACAAAGGAAAGAGGATCCAAAAACCACCTTTTGGCATGCAGGCAGCTAAGTATCACTGCCAGACTGGGTAAAAGCTAGAATTCTACCTGGGACAAAAGGGGTGTTAACTGTGAGGGCAGCTCTCAAGGAGGGACTGCGTTCAGATATTCAGTTAAGGAAGAATGTATGTGGGTGGTAAGTTTACTCTTGTGGATGCTTTAGAAGTTTCATTTACATAAGTTTTTATTTAGCATAATCTAAACATATTGCTGCAAAACATGTATAGTTAATAGTTTTTTTCTACAGATTAGTTTTTCACATGGTCCTAAAATTTGGCATAGCACAAAACACAATGAAGTAGTTTAACACAGGTAGAAGAAAGATTTGGATTTAAAAGACCTTAAAACTGAAAGGGTGATTAACCTTCAAACAATTTACCAAGTACAGTTTGGAGATACATATACACCCACTATACGTACATACACGGTATGTGTATGAGTATGTGTATTTAGATTCTATGTGTGTATGTGTTTGGTGTGTGTGTGTGTTGGGGGCTGTTTATGCTATATCTCTGAAATATGAGTATGAAGGTCATAGCAGATTTTACGGAAAAAATGGGGAAGTTTACAATTTGATGATATGTACTAATTCACAGCAAGCCTGGATGCCACACGCATTCTAACCACATCTGAGCTCCCAACATCTCTTCTGCCCTGCCTATTACAATAGCCTCCTACCTGGACTTCCATTACCTTTCTTGCTTTCCTTTAATTCACTCTCTACACAATGGTCTTTATAAAATGTAAATCTGATTATGTCATGACACCTACTTAAAAAACTTTGATGATTTCCCATTAGGATAAAATCTAAATTCTTTATGACGGACGACATCTTTATGTATGAACCGGCCCATACCATCCTGAGTCACCTTGTCAGTATCACACCCTCCTCACTGTCTCTAGAGTACCTGCCGGTATCTGCCCGTAACCATCTTTCTCTGACTCTCTACCTCAGTAATTCCTTTCTCATCCTTTATGTCTATGCTGGAATTTCACCTCCCCAGAGACTTCTTACATAGGAGTTACATAAATCAGGTTGCCCTGTTACAATCTCTATTACTACCCTCTACATTTCTCTACTATTTTATAAACTCTGCAAGGGCTGATTCTGTGTCTGTTTTTTCATCTCTATCTTCAACATTTAACACACTGCTTGGCACAAGGGAGATCATAAGAGAAAACTGAGAAAAGAACTGAAAAGAAGGCAGTAGAAAATAGCTTCCCCTTCTCCAACTTTATTGTTTAACTTTTTAAACTAAGAAATATTTTTAAAATGTGAATGGCATCAGAATATAGGAAAGTCAAGCTACCTTCAATTTACAGTTATTAAAATATTTCAATACTCACCAGCAATGCTCTTCCGCTTTTGAAATATTGCATGATGGGGAGCAGTAAGTGACTGGAATGAATCTGTAAAGTTTTCAGAGTCATGATTTGCAGTGCTCCTTATAAATTCCATAGCAGCCTGGAGAACTCTAAACTGCAGTGCAACAGCCATATCTAAAAACAGAAGATACTAGAATGTTTTCAAGCTATGTGGTTGTTAATTTTTTTTTTTTTAGATAAGTATTTTTTATTGAAGGGTAGTTGACACACAGTATTACATTAGTTTCAGGTGTACAACACAGTGATTTAACATTTATATACATGATAATTCTAGGTACCAGCTATCACCCTACCAAGTTGTTACAATATTTTGACTATATTCCTTATCCTATACATTACATCCCGGTTACTTATTTATTTTACAATTGGAAGTGTGTACTTT